TTAACTATCAGAACGTACAAAAGTGAACACATTCATCATGCACAGGACAACTTAATTGTACCTCACTCAGGAAGGTCAAATTTAGCTGCTTCGATTGTGATTGATGACTTGAGGTGCAATGTTGACAAGAGTCCTAATGAAATCAGAAAGGACTTGTATAAAGAATATGGAGTGCAATTGAACTATACTCAAGCATATAGGGTTAGGAAGAGAGCACTAATGGAATTACATGGTCGAGTAGAAGATTCTTATAAGGTAATCCCTTGGATGTGTGAGAGACTCATGGAAACTGATCCTGACACAGTTGCAAGATGGGAAGGCTCAGATAGCAACCGATTTGAGAGGCTATTCATTGCATATGGATGCTCAATTAAAGGCTTTGTGGAAGGTTGCAGACCAATTATTTATATAGATGGATGTCATTTGAGTGGTCCTTACAAAGGAACTTTATTATCAGCTTGTGCATTTGATGCAGACAATGAGTTGTTTCCTTTAGCATATGGTATTGTTAGCGGGGAAACAAATGATGAATGGACTTGGTATCTACAGAATCTGAAAGAGATAACCAGATCAGCACAAGTGACAATTGTCTCAGATCGGAGTAATGCTATTATCGGTGCTGTCAAGACAGTATTTGATGGTGATAGACATGCTTTTTGCTATCGACATGTGAAAGAAAATTATAGTGCGCAGTATGTGAAAATCAATAGAGGTGTGAGACGGACCTCAGAAAATAACAAGGAGAATGCACTTAATTTACTTGATGGAATTGCATATGCAAGGCATGATAATGAGTTTAATGTTGCAATGGGAAATTTAAGATTGTTTTGTCCTCAATTGGCACAATGGGTTGAATCTCATGGGGATGTGGATAGATGGGCGCAAAGTAAATTTCCTTTTAAGAGATGGGATAACATCACCAATAATCTTGCTGAGTCTTTTAATGCATGGATGTTGAAAGAAAGGAAGCACGCCTTGCCGGTTTTGATACAAGAGCATCAAGAGAAGTTGGCCAAGAAGATGGTTGCTAGCAAAATGGGGATGAAAAGCTGGAAAAATGGTGTAGGACCCAATATTGAATCAAAGTTGTCGGAACAAATAGCAAGAGGTGCGTGTATGGAGGCAACATATTATGGTGATGACCATATTTCGGTGCAGACAATACGTGAGGGACGCATCATCTATGTTGCTGTTGATCTGATTTCTCACAGATGCACATGTTTGGCATGGCAAATGAGTGGAATACCTTGTCCACATGCTTGTGCAGCAATCAAACTAGTTCACCGTAGTGTGTATGATTATGTAGATGATTGTTACAAATTGTCCACACAGGAGAAAATATATGCAAATAGCATGAGGCCAATTGCAACACATGATTGCCCACAGCCTGATGCACCTACTGTGAGTCATATGCTGACCCAAACATTCTTGCATCCACCGATAACCAAAAGGCCTCCAGGAAGGCCAAGGATTAATAGGATAGAATCTCAGTTCCAAAATAAGAAGGTTTATCATTGTGGAAGATGCAAAGAGCCTGGACACACTGCCAAGACATGCAAGAACCCAAATCCCAGCTGAGAACATATTGAAGTCAGCTATTTTTTGTATATGGATGTGAAGAGAATATTTTGTAAATGGGTGTGAAGGAAATTTTTTGTAAATGGATACACACCACTGGTTAGTTTCATTATGACATGCAACCCCTATGTTTTTTTTGGGATGGGTTGTGAAATAGGTGTAGTTTCATGTATATGAAAGTGTAAATGAAAGTTGGCTATGAATTGGCATGTTACATTGTACTGTCATTTTAGTTGTCATTACCTGCACCCTGAGTTGTCACTAGACCTGTAATGACTTGTCAATCATTGCACTACGACTTGTCAATGAATTTGCTGATGTAAGTTGTCAACAACATGAATTCAAGTAACATAACCTTTTTGACCATGAAATGATATTTACAATCACTTTGTCATATTATATTTTGGTTGTATGGTTATATATAATCATTATTAATGAAGTGTCAAAAACTTACCTCTCCCTTGTCCCCTGTCAGTGGTGGCTCTGTGACATGTCAATGGAGCACTGTTGCTTGTCAATAACAACACTGTCCCTTGTCAATGGTTTATCCGGTTACTTGTCAATGGAGCTCTGTGACTTGTCAATGCAGCACTGTGACTTGTTAATGGCTTCACTGTCCCTTGTCAATGGAGCACTATGACTTATCAATGGAGCTTTGTGACTTGTCAATACAGCACTGTGACTTGTCAATGGTTGCACTATGACTTGTCAATGGTTGCACTATGACTTGTCAATGGAGCTCTGTGACTTGTCAATGGAGCACTATGACTTGTTTGTGTGAACATTGTCCCTTGTCAATGGTCGCTGTCAAGAGAGCATTGTGACTTGTCAATGGAGTACCGTGACTTGTCAATGGTTGCACTATGACTTGTCAATAGGGCACCATGACCTGTCAATGGGGTACTGTGACTTGTCAATGGAGCACTATGACTTGTTTGTGTGCACTGTCCCTTGTCAATGGTCGCTGTCAAGAGAGCATTGTGACTTGTCAATGGAGTACCGTGACTTGTCAATAGTTGCACTATGACTTGTCAATAGGGCACCATGACCTGTCAATGGTGCACTGTGACTTGTCAATGGAACACTGTGACTTGTTATGAAATTCTTATATTACTTGTCATTAACTCCTGTTATATTAGTTGTTATTTTGGATAACTGACGTTGTTTTGGATAATTAAGAATGTAATAAAACCCTAACAAATTAGTATTACAATGTGATGACAAAGGTAATAATATTATAAACATAACCTGATCAGTTTGTTACAAAATGACCTATTTGCTAATCATCTTAACAACACATATCATGGGCTAAGAGAACAAAAAATTCATAGACACTCTATCTCCTCTTCTTGGTCTTGTTGTAGTCCGATAGCATCGACATCACTTGACTCCCATGTTCATTACTTGGATGGGTTACCAACCACCACAAACAGCCAACCTTCAACTCTTGTAGCTCATCATTAGAGTATCGTGGCATTGTATATCCTGCATCATCCCGAACGGTGCCATCCCACTCTTGTAGCCAAGAGATAACATGAACTCCACATGAATCACTACCAAGCAAATTGAATATGTTAGCGCCTTGCAATTGTTATTGTGAACAAAAACAACATAACACAATCGAACAGAACATCTACACTTACGTATCATTCTGCACATAGACTTTAGCCCATTTCACTTCGTTGTCAATTTCGTCCTCATTGGCAAACAATTCTGGCTTAACAGCACGTAGCATCGAATGGAAACAGTTCATCTGGAAAAAACACACACGCACATAATGAACATCCAGTGACAACTACAGAACATCCAGTGACAACTCACAGAGCATGTAGTGACAAGGGACAGAGCATCCAGTGACAACTAACAAAGCATCTAGTGACAACTACCAGAGCATGCAATGACAACTACTACAGCATCTAGGGATAACTAACAGAGCATCCCGTGACAACTAGCATAGCATCCAGTGACAAGGGACAGAGCATCCAGTGAAAACTAACAGAGCATCTGGTGACAACTAACAGGGCATCCAGTGGCAACTAATATATCATCCAGTGACAAGTAACAGATCATTCAGTGACAACTAACAAATAATATATCATCCAGTGACAAGTAACAAATCATCCAGTGACACCAAGCACAACATCCAGTGACAACTACCAGAGCATGCAATGACAACTAGCACAGCATCCAGTGACAACTACGACAGCATGTAGTGACAAGGGACAGAGCATACAGTGACAACTAGCATGGCATCCAGTGACAAGTAACAGATCATCCGGTGACAACTAGTATAGCATCCAGTGACAACTACCAGAGCATGTAATGACAACTATGCAGACTGCTACTAACAATTATAATAGTCATTGACAAGTATAAAAGCTGTAAATAACTACTCACAGTTTGTGTTGCCATGAACTGTTTGGGGTCGAACTGCCTTTTACTTGTCCTCTTTTTCTTCTTCTTTGCGTCATGTTGTTGCTCACCCCCCTTCTTCTTTGCTTCTTCTTCCTCGGCTTGTAATCTCATGAATGTGATGCTATCAACCAACGAGTCAAGGGCGTGGAAGGTCATGGTCTTTGTCTCAAAAACATAACAAAACCAATGATCTTCAAATAGAGTAGGACCAAAAATGAAATCGCAATCCCCGATATTGTATCCAATATATTCAGGTAATATTTCTTTTTCATGGTCCTCCCATTTCCACCTTAAAGGATTCGCCACCATTTTCTGCATGAAATCTGCAGAAAATATATGACGGTTGACTCGCCCATCTTTTTCCTTTTGATCTCCAACGAATGTCTTCGCCACCATAGTCATAAACTGAAATTGCAAATACAAACAAATTACAACTCCTTAGCATGCAATAACTCATTCTGATATTAACTATGTACGTGTGACTCACCCTGTCGTTTATCCATCTTCTACGTTGGAGACATTGCAACTCACCACGGGTTAGGAAGTATCCATACATCGATACAAAGTATCTAACACAAATGAAACAATTATGAAGTTAGTAAATTCAGTAAATTCTGTAACATAATACAAAATTGGTCACCAAAACATAATACTTACTGCTCTTGCTCCTCATGGTTACACCTTGCTGTGCACATGTCAAATAAAGCTTGCCTGTCATCAATTGTTCTCTTTTTCCCAGCCTTGCTTTTAAATTCCAGAAATGGAGACCTAAGAGCTTTCCCCTTACTTATCACCCTTGTAGATTTCCTCACATGTTCGCTCCCTTCCCCTTGGGTGGCCTCATCCGCTTCTTTGTCCTCTTCATCTTCTTCTTCTCTCTTATTTTCTTCTTTATCTTCTTTGTCCTCATTTCCCTTCTCTTTTTCCTCTTCATCCTCTTTTTTTCCTTGTCATGTGATTCTTGTCCACCCATCTCCTTTTCTGATTGAGCTTCTTGCTCTTCTTCTTCATTCTATCATCTTGTGATTCAGATTCTTCTTCTTCATTTCTGTCATCTTCTTCCTCATCCTCTGAATCACTTCTTTCTCAACTTTTTCCTCTTCTGCTTCAGATTCTTCTGCCTCATCTTTGTCCTCTTCACTTACATTGCCACTACCCTCCATTAGTCTTGACTGAAGGGCCATCATTTCCTCCCCCAGCATAGACACTAATCGAGTATATGTCTTTTTGATCTCCTATACAAATCAAATTCAGAACAGTAAGCAACAGTAGAAAAACAAAAAATTAATCATTAAGCCCACAAGTCCACATACCGGGTGAGTTAAATTTTCAGGATCAAATTTGGTGGATTGCTTTGCCGGATGCAAGAGTCCTCGATTGCTTTCCTTCTCCTCCTTAACTCTTTGCTGCACTTTCTTTTCATCCCAATATGCAACAGCATCCTTTACATGTGCAGCTTTTGTTTCTCCCAATGGAAAATTTTGTAGACAATATAACTGCATGTGACATGAATGATAAGTTAACAGCAACCATTGACAACATTCAGACCATCAAATGACAACAGAAATATACAAATTATTGTAGCACTTACCATTAGGAAGTATAGACAACCTGGCACATTCTTCTTCTTCTCAGTCAACTTGCCTTTTTCCAATTGTTTCTTGTACACTCCAATCCCCTTATATAGTTCATGCAACACATAAGAGGACCAATCAAACTTATCCAATCTATCCTTTGTTGATAGTATTACCTTCAACAAATAATCACCCACACAAATACTTGCATTAGGACATAACAATGTTCCCAATGCATACATGACAAACAGCACCTCAAAATTTTCATCTTGGTTCTCCTCAGTCAACAATGATGCTATCTTCTTGTATGGAATATTGCCATACACAATCCTCCACTGCTTGAACACTTCATCTTCATTATTCACAACTACTTTAATCTCTTCTCCGTCAAATGGTAGCCCCAGAAATTCATGCACATCTTTTGCCCTCATTTTCCTTGTCTTCCCTCTTATGGAAATGTTTTTGATGCAACATCAACTGCAGACATAAACTCTCCACACAATTCTCTTTGAATTGTGTGACAACACACTTCAACCAACTTGTCAAACCCTATTTTTTTCAGCCTATCCATCAGTTCCTTCCTTTCTTTGATGTGCTTGCAAACTTGCATGAATTGTTTTGGTGCACATCTTGTATAGAAAGGAACAATATACTTCTTGGACTTGGTGGGAGGTCTTTGTGCCTTAGCCCTTTCACAATATTCCTCTCTTTGTTGTTCTGATAATTTATCCCATGCCTTTCTCACTTGTGCATTTCCTGCTTCAAGTGATTTGTACTTCTTTGAGCTTTTCTTGTAGAATTCCTCCGTAAACAAGGCATAACCGGAGAAATTACTGCTTCTTTGTGCATCCTTCCCCATCTGGCAATTCTGCTCAAATGCTGAACCCCAACTCTTTCAGACCACAGCAAACTTCTCAAACTAGTTCCAGAAAGATATACCAAAAGAGGGGTTTTTCCAGGTTTCTCAGTATGTCAACAAATGAAACGCTTAATTAGTGATAAAAAGATTCAATTTTTCACCAATAAATGAAAGGCTGCATCATGCATAATTCACACGCAATCATCAATATGATAATAGAAATCCCAAAAAGGAAAGTAGTAACAATTACAGACCAAACAATCTTGACAAATACTTTGAACTCCAAACAAGGCACATCAATTATTCAGCCTCAAATCTGATTCTTCCATATTATCATATTCTAGTTATTTACCATTTACGCATTTCATACCTCATCTCATCATGTATCATTCTTCTTACAACCCTTCTTGGAAGTGCTTTTAGAAGGCTAATGCCTCATCATGTATCATTGTTTTAAACATGCTCCAATACGCATACCATCTTATGGTCAAGGGAAACAAAAAACATGGGCCAAGCATAATCAAAAGCATCCAGCCGTATTTGATGCAAATATTCAGCAATGATCAAACGCAACAACAAACTGCCAAGACATGCTTTTCTGATTCATATGATTTTACCTTCTTCAGTGTCGACAATGCCTCTGTGTGCGAAAAGAAATTGTGAGAATAGGAGCTCTGCTTCAGACGCCGATCAACGGAGCCACCAGGACGACTCCTCTTCGCTTGAAACGCAAATGACCGCAGCCACAACGATGATCTTCACTTCGCTTCTGATGCCGATCAACGGAGCCACCACAACAAGCTCGACTTCGCTTCAAATGCAAATGAACAGTGCCACAACGACGACCTCCACTTCGCTTCAAACGCCGATCAACAGCGCCGCCAGGACGAGCTCTACTTCTCTTCAAACACCAGGACGAACTCCACTTTGCTTCAAACACCGATGAACGGAGACGCCAGCACTTCGCTCCGCTTCGCTCCGCTTCGCTTCCAACACCAGCACTTCGCTCCGCTATGCTTCACTTCGCTCCACCAAAACAGAGCCACCGCCACAGGCTTTCAAGGACTTCGGTCACGATTTTCGGTGGGTTGTGAGTAGATTTGAAGCAGCACGGTGGGTTGTGGCCGGATTCTTCGCACGAACGATTTCGAACAGCACGAAGGCGCCAGACGGTTTCTTCGAACGAACGACAAACAGGGTTTCAAATTTTCAGTCAAAGCAATTTCGAATGGGAAATCATAGTAAGGGCAAATAAGTCATTTGAAGATTCTGAAAATTGCATCTGAGTCCCTTTGGGACTTCAAAAACATTATCAGATTTCAGGGGACCTATTTGCTGTATTTTGTTCTCCATGGGACCTCAATGTCATTTTCCCTAGATTATAAGGTATTCAAGTCTTTTAGTATGGTTTGGATTATGTGATTGTTTTATTCTTCATTAATAATATTGATCTTCATATAAAAAAACAAGAGCATAAATAAATAAAAAATATTAAAAATAAAAGTCTTATATTCAATAATATAAAAATAATTATTAAATTTTTAATACAGTAAAAATTATTTTCTTCGTAAAGGACAGATTACTAAAGAATAGAGATTGAATGAGGACGAGCTTATCAAGAGAGGATGGGACAGGCATAAGATATAAATTCAGAAGAGACAAATCAGAAAAATGACATAGGCATACAGTCTGATTTCTTTGTCAAGGGAAAGATTCTTATATATATATATATAAATATATATATATATATATATATCATTATCACCACAGTACTACTGTTATTTATGAGGGGGAAAAAGCCTTCCTTCCAGCAAGCTAAGCATCTTTGAGGTTGATCTTAATTAATGATCTTAATAATTTTGTTTAAAATCAAAGAACGATAAAATTAAATTTCGTTAGTCGTTACATAGATATAGAACTCTTTGCACTGCAAATAGTAATATTTTATGTTTGAGCTTTTGCTGACAATTTTAATTTCAAATATTCTTCTGGCACCCTACTCCATAAATTAAATAGTAAAAAGAGACAGGGAAAAAAAACCAGGTTTTAGTTTATTTTTTCAGCGTATTGCCTGATTTATTATGGTTGATTTCTTTTTCCTTTATGCTCAAGTTTCAACAGGGACTATTTATTGGTAGTGAAATCAAGAGTGTTTACCTAATTTTTCGGTCTGCTAATTAAAAATTATAGCATAGGAATATTAAAGTGCATTAAAGCCATTAATGACATTAATGATCAATGAATCTCTGATCCATTTGACGATCAATCTTTACTTTCGTGTGTGTAGACACAGACATAGGAACAAGGATAACATTAAACCAAAAAAAAAAAAAAACCCCCCTATCTTAATTTTTAGAGCTACAGACATCACATTACTTCATTGTTAGCTCATAATCCTCAATTTCTCTTAATGTTGAGGTCGAGCCTTCATTGTTATCAAGAAATCATATGTTATCATAAATTTATAATACCATATTGTTTATAAATATAAGTCACTTTTATAGGAGGAATTTTGATCCTAAATGTAAATCACTTTTAAATTTTTGTTTTTTAATTTTACTCTTACTTAATTCTCATTGAAAAAAAAAGGAATAAATACGAGCATGATTTATAAATATATAGAGAGAAAATTTTTATTAAAAATAAAATTTAAAATTTTTATTAATTTAATGTATTTCTTGATATTGATATTTAAGAATGTCTTATAAGTGGCACTTTCATAAAAGAGTTCTTAGAAAAGAATCAACATATTTCAGCAAGTGTTTGCAAACCACACTTTTTTGGATTCTTAACGCTGACACAATAGATAGATAGAGGATTCAAGCCACTATTAAGAGAACTCAAGGTTGCGATTCGCTGGATTTAAAAGGACGATTTAAAGTTACTTCAAATTGGTGCAGGAGTCTTAAAATGGGATTTAATTAGATCTATATGTGACAAGAGTACTCAATGTTGTAATTTGTTGGATTTAATTTATACTCTTAAAAAACTAAATCGCAATAATTTGAAGTAAGATCAAGTAACGAACTTGTTTATAGGAAGAATGACCCCTAATATCAACATTAGAAATATTAATGGAAGTTAATGTTTTGTTTATTTTTTGGAAAAAAATAGGAAAAATGACGTAAAGAGAAGTTGAAAATTATAATATTTTAATTCAAGCACTTAAGAGATCAAAATCACAAGAAAAGAAGTGGTGCCTAAACTAGTATTTTTGTAAATGTAGTTAAATGACTATAATGCCCTTACACCAGTTCTTTTTTTTTTTTTTTAAGAAAAAAGCTATCAAACTTGTCATTGTCAATATATTTCTTGTCATTGGTTGGCCAACATTTATCATTACTAGTTTATAACTTATTACTAAATAACTTGTCATTATCACAATATTTCTTGTCATTTACCATTTAATACTTGTAATCGCCAGTTTACAACTTGTTAATAAACTTTTTGATACAATGACATTTTTGTCATTTAATTACATTTATAAGATATCAAAGTCAGGTATTATTTTCTTTTTTAAGATTTTGACCTCTCTTAGGTATCTGAATTGAAACATAGCAATTTTCAACTTTTTTTGAAGGTCATTTTTCCAAAAGGACGCGAAAAAAATATTAAAACTCAAATGAAGTGAATACGGAGGTGATGGGATGATGACGCAAAAGGGGTATCTTGAAGAAGGCGTGGAAGCAACAGAAGAAGAGGGAGAAAGGATGGGGTGGAGGGAAAGGAATCCAGTGCGTGCGGATCCCCATGTTCCTACGGTATGCATCCTTCCGACGCAACACAATGCTCTATGTCCTCCACCCGGAAACAAACCTACTGTCCGGCGTTCGCCTTCACGCAACCACCTGTTCTGGCCCCTGTATATGTGTGTGTGTGTGTATATATATATATATATATATATGTGCGCGCGTGTGGGTAACTGGAAAATTTTATTCTTGATCTTATTTTTCAAGTACATCTAATACCCTAATTTGTTTAGTGGGGCAATTTTGCCCATATCCTATTAAATATTACTACCTCCGGTCCTTAATATAAGACTCTGTTTGACTTTTACTTTGGTTCTAAATATAAGACCCCAATCCATTTTGTCTCTAATATTTATATATTTTTTTCCAAAATAGTCCTTCTAATAATTGTAGTCCTAGCCAATATAGTTGATTAGTAAGGATATTTTAGGAAAGGTAATACCTATTTATTACAAATAACTAACTTAACTTCTTTCCTTAATCTCCTCAAATTAGTTAACTGAATCTTATAATTAGGACGGGAGGTAGTACTCCTCTGGTCCTTAATATAGACGTAATTGTAAAGTTAATTTTGCTCCTAAATATAAGATCTATTTTTTATATTTATCAATTTCTTTCAAATTACCTCTATTGATACTTCATCAACAATAATCAAGTATGGAAGGAGGGAAGATATAATGAAGATGATTAAGGTGTTTTAGAAAAAACATATCATATTTATTATAATTAACTAACTTACCTAACTTTCTTAATCTAATCAAATTAGTTAAATAAGTCTTATATTAAGGACCGGAAGACTACTACTAGATTGGAATATGCTGGGAAATATGATTAGAGGAAAAAATTGCATCTCCTTCCAAAACTTCATGATGATATGAGAAGGGTTTAGCGGACACTTCATAAGTTGGAGGCGTGAAACACAGTGCCATTCTATACCTCTCTGCGGCTATCTAGGATCTCAAATGGACCACTTATTAATTAATCTTGCAGTTAAATTATTAAATCTAACTGATCACCTCCCAAATGCCAATTATAGATATCTCCTCACTTGTCTCCATCATCACTTTTCTATCTATTATCTATTTTCGGTTGTCAACAATTTCTACTTAATCATTCTAATGCTATTCTAAGTATAGTTCTATTCACAAAATTGGGACCCAATATAATTCTCTTACTCAATTCAGAGATGCTTTATAAAGCGTTATTTGAATATTTGAATGAAAACTGCTGTTGTTTGCAAATTTGCTAAAAAAGTAGATGATTCTCAGTTATTCTTCAATTCAATTTAATGGCACATGTGTTCAACATCGTGTTTAAGTGTTTGAATGGTCCCCTCAGCTTTTCCATCTGTTCGTGTGCGATAAGCAATGCTAAGTTTCACTCTGATAATCGTAGCTTTTGCCAAATACCTCAAAAAGTTTGATCTAAACCTTAGATCATAATATAATGGATGATCGGATGCTATGTCTTCAGGTATCCCATGTTGTCTAGTTATCTTTTGAACACAGAGCTGGGCATTGGCCTTGATAAAAATTAAAATAGAAAATTTAATTACTGTTATAGATAGATGGATTTATTACTTTTACAAAAAAAATCCTATATTATATATTTTTATGTACTTTACCTTTCCGAATTAAGCTGGCATAACATGATTTGAAAGAATTTTTATTTTTATTTATTTTATTTTCACATAGGCTATGATAAAGATCATACCAGAGTGGAAATTGATGAATTTAATTTAACCCTTAGGAGTATTTACGCTCTATAAAACGATTAGCACCTTTCTAAACATATGTATTCAAGTTCGTAAGTATCAATTAAATTAAAAAGTAATTTGAAATTGAGATCTCCACCAAGCTAACTTTATTGTGAATTGAGATCATATTTGTATGGATTCTTCGGATCTCCTGATATTTAGAATATTGTGATAAACGGTAGAAGAATAAATTGGGGTATAATTTTCTTTCTTGGATCATATCGGAATCCATTGATAGTATTACATTTACATATCTAAATGATATAGGAAGAAGAAATGAGGAGAGGATGTTATAACTTACAATAGCTTGAAAAGTTTAAGAATCCGTCAAATTCCTTTCCTTTTAGGTCAAGAACAAATTTCTAGATAATATAAATTGAATATATCTTGCATCATTCTGAACCACAAATTCATAGTTCGTGGACTAAGATAATCAATTTTCAGATATTAACAAATTACATATTTATAAAGAAAACTATGTGTTGATTTTTCACCCTTAAAATACTCAATTGAATCATTAAAACTACTTACACTAGTGAAAAGTCAAAACCCCGCTTTGGTATATGCAATAATAAAAACAGTTTGAGAAAAAATTATAAATTTATTAAATAAAGTAGATTAAGATTTCGTATTTAGGACCAAGCAAATTTCTCAATTAATTCTTATATCTAGGACAGAAAAGAAGGAGCACATAACATATAAATACACTCTTTTAATAAAAGAACTAAATATAATCCATTTACACAAGGTTTAATCATAGATATGCATATTTTACCGAATACTGAAGAATAAGTGTGCATATTTTACCTAATCCATTTGCACGAGGGTTTAAGCATAGAAAAGGAATTGGGACTCTCCATTGATTCCAACCACTCCATGCCTGATTTTTTTTTTTTAACCACTAACACATCCTCTCTTTAACTCACTTTTATTTCAAAAAAAAAATCTTAATTTATTTTCTTATTAATCAACGGAATATTTTTTAACACATCCTCTCTTGATTTCTCGTACCTAAAATAAGAAATTATCCTGGTGCTTAAGTTTTGAATTTGGATGACTAAGATAATATTTTGAAGAACCAGGCATATATAGTTGACTTATAATTATTTAGTTAGATAATATGGTAATCGAATGATAATTGTCCATTTTGAACATGATAGATAGTGCTTTTGATTGATGGCCAAGAAGAAGAAGGAGAAGATAGTTATTTCCATTGAGTGGTTTTTAATTCGTCCCATATGGTTCTTCATTTTTCAATGAAGTAGCAGATTACTCTCGATAAATCAAATCCTATTTGCCTTTTATTTTAAGTTATCCAATAGCTACAAATTTACCTATTTATTAGTTAGATAAATTAAGCTTGAAGTTTTTCTCCAGTGAGATTTATTTAGTCAGTGGACGTGGCATAATTTTGGGCCGATAGTATAACGGCAACTAATAGTTTATAAAACACATAAATTTATTTTTGCTGGTCAAAAAATATAAATTTATTTTTGTGCCGTGATATGTTAAAGTAGGGGAGAGAAAAAAAAATGTTTAATTAGTTTGATTCTTGGCTGATGGCCTGATCCCAAAATTAAACTTTGATTCTTGGCAAGCAAGTTACTTAGGTAAATGTTGCAACGTTAATTGACTAATTATCACCCTAAATTTCTTGCGGGAGAAAATTCAAAATATTTCTTTGAAATATGGGAAGGCCTCCTAGAAATGTTGACAGATTGACAATTTTTTATTGGTTAATTTTGGTTCTCATTATTAAGTTTTGAATTTGATTCTTTTGGGGATTGTATTTCAAATCGAATTTGTAAACATACTGATTCTTAATTTTTAATTGCATTGTTAAATAATACTACCTCTGGCCTTAATTATAAGATCTTATTTGTAAACATACTGATTCTTAATTTTTAATTGCATTGTTAAATAATACTACCTCTGGCCTTAATTATAAAATCTCATTTGTAGTCTATAAACAAGCTCTTATAGTTAGGATCAGAAGTAGTATAGGGATTTTAGAACACACACTTTAGTATATAATTATGTTAGGAGTTATAAGGAGGAAAAATTGTACACTTAAACCTGTACAACTATTTTTTCCTGTCAGATTAATACAAGCGGATTTTTTTTATAAACTATTTATTTTATATATTTTATAACTAATACTTATTATTCATATTTTTAATTTATTTATAATTTTAAAATTGACATATTTTGAGTTGATTCTCGCTAAAATGGTTTAGGACGAAGCCATGCCATGTATGGTGGTTTCATTTGTTTGACTGATTTGGAATGCGGCTATATATATGCGTGTGTAAACAAAGCAAGCTGTATTGTTTAAACAATACAACTTATTTAAGGTAAAAAAAAAAACAAGTTATTTATCATATTTTCTGCAAGTCACAACAAGACGGGTCTAATTATGATAATTATTCATCTTAAACTTTAAAACTTTAATTTACATATTTTTATTCCAACACTTGATTATTCACATAATTTTTCTAAAATATCAGTCCTTCACAATTTTATCCTCAGTTATTTAAAGATCCGATTATGTAGAATTGTTTTGAAACAAAATAAGATTATGTATGTAGTATTGAACTGTTGAAAAATTATTTGTCACGGACATTCTTCCTTACAAGAAATTGGACTATGACTCCTCAAAAATATATTTAAATTATGTACATAAAATAACATTTAAAACCCATAATAAGAAACTATTTTTTTTGCTGTGTTTACAGGATGCTTAACTTATACGGCACCCTCATGGCCTCACACATTATGACAATCTGTATAAACCCTTCTATGCCTTGGTAAAAATTACACATAAATTAAAACGAAACCATAATCTCTGATTATAGTAATAACACGCTACTTCTGGTCCTAAATATAAAATTCTGTTTGTAGATTACAAAAGAGATCTTATAATTAGGACCGAAAGTCTATAAACGAGATCTTATAATTAGGACTGGAGGTAGCATGTAATAAGTCGTTAACATTTGAGTTTTTTTTAAAAAACTTTTATGCCTTGGTAGAAACTATACATTTTATTTATATATTTTAAAAAAATTCCATTGTGACTAAAATAATATAAAAATATTTAATTTAATAAATATTAATACACAAGAAAAATCAATTTTAAGCGAGGAAAGTGAAAATTTTTTACCATAAAATGTAATTTGATCCGTTCTCAACATTAGTTGTGTGCGCATAATTTTTCTTGCTTTTATTATACCATTCAAACATTTACTTTCCTTAATTATGAAGTCAAAAGGATTCACAAGATGCATTTGATGAAGAATTTTCAGAAGAAAGTGGGGGATAAATGGATAATAAAAAAGCAAGCGGATTCAAATCGGAAAGTTTAGAGGGAAGGCTCCAACGGCTAGTTTGGTATATTCCACTCACTCCCATCTGAAAACGCCACCGACCACAGCTTTTACAGCTCGGCTCCGCCATGGCCATTTTCATCTTCCTTCTCTCACTTCACCTTTTTCTCCCCTTTAAAACCGCTCTCTCTCTCTCAACCATGACCACCCAGCTTCCTTTCTCTCCCAACCCTAAAGATCGATCGATTCGCAGTAATCTGAATAAAAATGCACGGAAAAAAGTCTCTCCTTTTCCAGAAAGTCTCGACTCTCCTGAGGATTCCCCTGTTCGTCCCCAAACTCAGAAAGCCCATCATTCCCAAGCTCCTTTTGCTGAAGAGATTCAAGAAACGCAAGGACTTCAAGCTTCTCATGCATTACAACAATGGCTTCCATGGCGAGTATCAGTTCTCACCTTCCAGCACTCCCCTCATTCAATTCCCTCGGAAAGACCGCGTTAAGAACAGAGACTACGGAGATTTATGCTCGTTGATGTTTCTGGTTCGGTGTTTGGGTGATTTCGGAGCTGAAGTTAAGGGCTTTAATGGCGGATTTGCAGAGAACCAGCTGGAGGAAGCTCTGTCGGTTCCCGCCATTACAGATGGAGAAGAGGACTTGCGTGAGCCGTTGGATTCAGAAGACGCAGATGAGTCGGTTGATCTGAGAGCTGAGAGGTTCATTGAGAGATTCTATCAAGAGATGAAGATGCAGAGGCAAGAATCCATTTAACAATTTTGGCAATGAATTTTTTTTGAATATTATTTGTTTCTTTTTGCAAACCATTATATTATTTGTTTGATTCTCTACAATTATATATTTATTTTTATGTATATAATTGTGGAATTGGTTGTATTTTTTCATTATTATATTTTTTTATCACGAAATTTTGTTATTTGCCACAATAATGTTGTTCTGATGATCAATGGGTGGTTGAATTCAATATCATTTTTCCGGATTTCTTTGTAATTACTGTTTTTATGCTTACAATCCATTGTATCCTTGTTTCGCTGACTTAATGTGTTTTTTTTCCCCTCGCCAACTGTTTTGCTGACTTAATCACTAGGTAGTATTTTGGTTATGTTTTAGGTAAATTTAACCACCTAATTTAATCTTTATCCACTAAGAAAGTGATAGTTTTATGTGATGCAAAGAAAATATGTCCCACTCCCAAAATAATTTCTTGTTCAATTATATTGTAAAGGCTCTTATTTGTAAAGTACTACTTCCGATTCTCAATATAAGACCTTGTTTGATTTTTATTTTGGTCCTAAATATAAGACTCTAATTTATTTTGTCTCTAATATTTATATTTTTTTTTCAAGATAATCATTCTAACAATGGTAGTTTTAGCTAATATACTTGATTAACAAGGATATTTTAGGAAAGACAATATATATTTATGACAGATAACTAATTTAACTTCTTTTCTTAATCTCCTCAAATTAGTCAACTAGCTCTTATAATTAGGATCGGAGGTAATATAACTATAAAATAAACTTGACTTGACATGAGAAATCTCACATCGGTTAGAGTTAGCCTTAACAACATGCCTATAAGTGCAAAACGACTCAATTTTCGGCCGTATCAATCAAGATATTTATGCAAGACAAGACACACACATATTTCCACAACGTCATAAAAATTGGATTAGACACCAAATAATCGGTATATTGGTTATGGTTATGGTTAGCGGTTGTGGTTGGATAATAGTCAAATATATTTTAATATATTAAAGGAAAATCATATATGTGTCCATATATTTAATTTTTTTTAAGGTAACAATTACTCAAACTATATGTTGATACTGATAGCCAATATATAACTAAAGTTTTAGAAAAAATGAAAAAAAGTTTCTCGTTAAAAATTTTGTTAATAAGAATGAATTAAATTAACATATCTATATTTTATATCTACAAAATTTACAGAGAGTACTGATACTTTCTATTTAAAAAATTTATCATATCATTTTTACCAGTAAAATTTTTAATGAGGGACGCTTTCCCTCATTTTCCCAAAAAGCTTTTAATTTAGCCTGAGTTGTAATTTGTAGAGGGCCCTACCAAAGCGAACTAAAATGCGTAGAGCTTTTTTGTTTGAAGTCTTTATCTTGGAATTAAAAAAAATATAGAAAAGAATGCATTGAAACATATTTAATTCTAAATGGTTATCTCATGGAGTAGTCAAATGAAGTGGGTTAGATAACTTGAAAATGAAGTGGATGTCCCAATTATAAACAATTAAATTGAAGAGGATGGATTTTTGAAGGCAATCATTGCTGTAGCTGTGGTAGGTAAAGTGGCAAACTCAACCTTGGAGGCTCATGTTTCAATTATTAAAGTCTTTGATGGCCAAAATACAAATTATTAAAGTCTTAATCTTGAGCTTAATAATAATTTTAAAAGTCTCTCATTCCAAGAGAATTGAATTGTCCTTCTCTCTTCACCTGCATTACATCATTGCTTTCTTAGAAGTTCTCGTTGAAAGAATTTATCTTGATGATGATGATGAGTTAAAAAATTCTCTATCTGATATCCGAGATCTTCAATTTCAAAATTTGAATGGTACAAATAAGAAATAAAAAAATAGTTAAGAAAAATTTATTAAAAATTTCTGCTTATAAATTTAATTTAGTAGAGATGCTTATAATTTGTTTAAAAACCTGAATACAACATTTTTTTTGGTGGATATAGCTCTTTTTCGACTACGTACAAAGGTTGAAGACATTTGCACATAATAAAAAATAGGGAAAATTTCGTTCAAGGACCGCAGTACAGAATTAATTTCAAAGAGTCCCCAAAACTTTTTGAAATTTCACTGCAGGATCAATGGGGCAAACTGATATTAATTCCACAAAGAAAATGATCCTATTGCCCCTCATGTGAACAAGTATGGGAGAACCTATTTGCAAGTGAGGTTAGATAATTTACAACATGTATAGATATATTTACAATTAAAATTAGTCCATTTACATATTACCTTCTTCACCTAAAGAATGTGTCTGAGTGAACAAGTGTGGGACAGCCCATTTACAAGTGGGACTAGACAATTTGCAACATACATATATTTATTTACAACTGGAATTAGTCCATTTACATGTCACTTCCTTCACCTAAAAAATTCTCTGGAATTAGTCCATTTATCTTGATGATGATGAGTTAAAAAATTCTCTATTTGACATCCGAGATCTTCAATTTCAAAATTTGAATGGTACAAATAGGAAATAAAAAAATAGTTGAGAAAAACTTATTGAAAATTCTTGCTTAGAAAATTAATTTTATAGAGATGCTTATAACTTGTTTAAAAACCTGAACACAAAATATTTTTAGTAAATATACTATCTCCGGTTCTTAATATAAGACCCTGTTTGACTTTTATTTTGATCATAAATATAAGACCACAATCTACTTTGTCTCTCATATTTATATTTTTTTTTCAAAGTAACCCTTCTAACAATAATAGTTCTAGTCAATACACTTGATTAGTAAGGATATTTTAGGAAAGACAACACCTATTTAGGATAAATAACTAACTCAATTTACTTCCTTAATTTTATCAAATTAGTCAACTGGCTCTTATAATTAGGATCGGAGGTAACTCTTTTTCGACTACGTATAAAGGTTGAAGACATTTGCACATAATCAAAAATATGTTGCATGAAACTGAAAAAGAGTTGAGCTCGTTCGAGAATATCCTTAGTATGTCTATACAATTAATTTTCTAATTTGGATTTTTAATCATTTCTTCTATAATAATTATTCCTAGCTCTAAGAAACCATATCAGCAACAAATGAGGATCTCAATGACATGAAAAAGCGTTTGTTATTTTCACTTACCAATGATGTGTTCGTAGTTAAGGAAACAAAATGCACCTCTTAGCTGCCAAATGTTCTTTCACCAATCCCCACCCCGCGCCCAACTTCCCAAAAAGAAAAACCCTTCTTTCATTCATTTCTATTTGCATGTTCTTCATCAAAAATTAGATTCTTTATAATTAAAATAGATTGAAGAGGAAAAAAATTGAAAAAATTTAAACAAAGAGTACGGGTTCACACGCTGTAAAAATCTTCAAAAAAAATTACATTATTTATAACTTCCTAGACATAATATTTTTATTTTTTACATAAAACTTTATTTAATAATTATTATTTTTTTAATATTAAATGTCATACTAGGTAATAGAGCTATTCTTTCTCCAATAATTTCTAATCTCAACTGAGCATTTCAATACGATTCGCTAGGCATAAAAAATATTCAATAAGATTTTTTTTATACAAAAAAAGTTTATATGATTTAGGTTTCAGGACTCACCAGGGTCAGGACATCTTTTTAGGCTTAAAGAGCATTTACAGAGGTACTTACAGATCACTTACTAACAAGATCCTCACATCGACAGCGGTATTTGAACTCATAATTTTGTGAGTTATGAATCAATTCCTTACTGATTGGATTAACTCTTGTTGGCCATTTAATAAGATTTGAACCATGCAAAGCTTTGATCACAGAGCAATCGTACCAAACTAGTAAGCAAGGCCTGGTCCAGATACTTGTCACCTGCGGGCGGGAGGTAAGAGGGAGTGTGGGCTGTGGAATGGGCTTTGTTTCAGTACTACTAATGGGTGCACGAGTTAGCCCATTATTACTTGGGCCCATTGTGGGATCCTTACCAATTTTGGAAGATGTTATTGGAGCGACAAGCCCTTTTTATATATAAGAAAAATAAAAAATCCATAAAGGTCCAAAAAATAAATCTATACATGTCGATCTTCTGTTTAATGAAATGGGCCCAGCAATGGATCCAGGCTCCGGTCCGATTTTAAAGAACAAAGAACAACGATTATGAGCTGGGCCTAATCTAGGATCTAATATAAATTAAAATATCAGAATTACTCCTCCGGTCTTAAATATAAGACTCTTTTTATAGTGTAATTTACACTAAAAAAAGGATTTTATATTTAGAATCGGAGGAGTACAATAATAACTAGAAAGTTCTCCCGTGCGTTGCAAGGAGGTGTGAATCATGAATAATTTTGTCATAATTTTACAAAGCACACAAAATTTGATCATAGATTTTTTTTCTTCATAAAATTAGTGAAAACAATTTTTTTAAACATAAAAAGGGACACACAAGAGTAACCTGAAAGTACCAACAAAATCAACAAAAAGAACAACAAAAATGTTTTTTTCACCTTATAAAGTAATCCATTGAAGAAGAAACTTTGATAACTTTTGAAAATACCACCATGGGTTTTAGTAGCTAATTAGAAAGTCACAAACCCTTTATTAAGGCATTATCAACCTAATCAACTGTGCTATTTGCTTACTCGTGAATCATAAGGAAAATATTTTTAAAAATTACATCACAAAGCACTAGTAAATAGAGCTATACATCTATATTATTGTCGTGTTGCAAGAGCAAGATAATGTATTTGAAAATGTCAGCACACATATGAGCAAACATAACTAATCAATTAGATTCTAGGAGTGCCATCTGTTAAAGATAGCTATGGGCTAAAGTACTTTTGTTTTTTGAGAAAGCACTATCATTTTAATTGTGAAAAAATTATTCCATGGTGAGTAATGTTATATTCTTAAAGCAGTCATTTATGTGCCTTCTGGTAGTGCTATGCACATCCAATGCTCTGGGGTGTCAAAGGGATCTTAATTAATAAGCAGAAAACATCAATCGCATAAATTTGAAGATGTAAAGAAACATTTAATTACTAATGAGC